AATTTTGGAAGCCTTATGGACACACCCAAACAGAACAGCAACTAGAAATAGAATATGCTCTCCTGGGGCACTTAATACTTTGGGGATACACAATATACTTGATTCTTTCTTAGAATTTTGATTTATCTGCTTATATTCCCCTCTGTCCTTGCATATCTCTACATTCCATCACAGCCTTTAGTATATTAATCATAGTTGTTCTAAATTCATGGTCTGATAATTCTAACATCCCTGTCACATCTGAGTCTTATTCTGATGTTTGCCCTGTCTCTTCAAACTGTTTTTTGCCCTTTACTCTGCCTTGTAATTATTGTTTAAAGATAAGCATGGTATAGGTTAAAGAAACTCCAGTAAACAAACCTTTAGTGGTGTGGGGGTGGGGCAAGCATTCCACAGCCCTAGGATTTTGTCTCAGTCTTTTAGTGAGTTGCACCCCAAGGTGTTGCATTTCACTAGTGCTTCTCAGTCCGGGAGCTGGAGTTGGATATTTCCCTCTCCCCAGGTTGGTTAGGCTGTGGTAAACCCTAATAGTGAAATAATTTCTCCTGAGGGCAGGCCCTGTTAAGAACAGAATTCTCTGTCATAGTCCAAAATGGTTTTTCCCTCCCCTGGCTAGAAACGAGAGGGGATTTTTCTCTAATATTCACTAGGAGAATGTGGTAGAACTCTAGGAGGTAAAGACCACAAAAATGTGGGTGTTCTCCTGGAGTTTTAAACTCTGAGTTGTCTGCTCTGAGCCTTCCGTGACTCATCAGTTACAGTTCTGGCTTTCCTACCCTGATTCTGGTTTCCACAGGTTTCTGCTTGTGGATTTCTACTCTGGTAGGTTGTGATCTTCATATCTGCATGTCTATCTCCTCAGCTGTGAGGGCAGTGGTTTGCCCTGTGACCTCACTTCTCTAACAGATCTAAGAAGAGTTGTTGATTTTCCAGTTTGTTCATCCCTTTACTGTTGTTAGGCTGGAGAGGCAACTCACAAGCTTCCTACATACTGGATTGGAAACTAGAAGCCCTACACAATACACCTCCTTGCACCCATGTCACAGGTACTCAGAAGCAGACACTAATTGGCGCTTCACTCAACACTGGCCCCAACGTACTGAGAGGAAATTGAAGTTTGGGGGAACCGGTGTATTGAATCATGAGACTGAATCAAGGCAGAAATCCAGCTTTGGAAAAGATGCACATGCATTTAAATGCCTCTGGTCCAACCTTTAAAAAGCTACAAATAATTAGAGCTAAGTGGGGTAAAAATGTAATCCAATTTGTAGAGAAATATTCGCAAGTTGTAAAAGGGTATAATCAAAGTTAATGCGTTTTTTTCCCTGCAACTGTACATTGAATAATAGAGGTTCTGGTAGTTGTTGATGTTTTGATGTTGTAGTATGTTTATTTTTGTGCAACAAATACTGTAGATGTTTATGTATTAAAAATGATAAGAAAAATATGGAGGAAAGTAGCAAAAATATTGACAAGGGTTGGAAAGAAACTGGAAGTAAGGGTTGAGTAAGTCTGGCCTTCTAGCTTCAGGGACACCTGAGTATTTAACCTTTGGCCGAATCTTTCTTGTAACACTAACTTATAGACTTAATGTGCCTATTTATTAAAAGTATGCCCTAATCCAAGATACATCAGGATCTGATTGAGGATAATGTAACAAATTAAGCACCTGTATCTCATTATTGACATTGTTTTTCAAGTAATGAATAATCAGTATTGATAAGATTCAGCTGCAAGTGGAGACTGGCTGGTAGTCATGTTTACTTGATGATGGCATGTGATACAAAAGCTATAGCAATCCTAGAGCTGCTTTACTAAACAGATTGTCCATTTCACTTAGCCTACTGTCTCATACCCCAAGTATGGAAAGGCATCAGACACTGTGCCTGGAAATCATGAGACCTCAGCTGTGTTGCTGCTGCACTGCTGTTCCTGTTCTATAGTTTTTCTCAGAGTTGAATAAACTTTATGCTGCACGAAGATGTGGGTTTTATGACTGTGATTGTCGTCAAAACCCAAGACCACTGTTGCTAAAAGAAAATTTAAGCATGGGGACACTGCAATGAGGATATTGAAAATCATTATTGGCCCTGGCTGGGTAGCTCAATTGGTTGGAGCATCAACCCAATACACCAAGGTTACAGGTTCAATCCCTGGTTAGGGCACATACAAGAATCAACCAAAGAATCATGAATGCATCAATAAGTGGAACAACAGCCCTGGCCAGTTTGGCTCAGCGGTTAGAGCGTTGGCCTGCGGTCTGGAGAGACCCGGGTTCGGTTCCCGCTGAGGGCACATACCTCGGTTGCAGTTTGTCCCCGGCCCTGGTTGGGTCGTGTGGGTGGCGACCACTCAATGTGTCCCTTTCACATCGATGTGTTTCTTTCTCTCTCTCTCTCTCTCTCTCTCCCTCCCTCCTTCCCTCCCACTCTATCTGAACAAAATATCGAAAAATGTCCTCGGGTGAGGATAAAAATAAAATAAAATAAATAAGTGGAACAACAAACCAATAGATGTTTCTCTCTCTTACTTTCTCTCTCTCTTCCCCCCTCCCTTCTTTTCTATGAAATCAATCAATAAATAAAAATTCTGGAACAAAATTCTCCAGGTCCATGTGAGTCACTGACAGACAGGAATTATGTTATATGCATTCTGCATGCTGAATGCCTAGAAATTTGGTTATTAAATAAATGGCTTAGAACCAAAAAAAACTGCATGCTTGTCTTTCCTAATTAGGAACAAAGAAGAGGCAACAAATATGCTATATGAAAGCACAATATTTAGTTTTCTCAGTAGTCACAGTAGTCTACATAAAAAATCTATTAATAAAATGCTCTCATAACATTAAAGAACTTGAATTAACGTTACATACCACATACAAGAGACTAAATATGCAAAAATGCTTGCTATGTTCAATAACCAGAAGTCCTGAATATAAAAAGATATAAAAGTCTCAGATTTTCTAAAAGAGTGACATCATCATATTAGTAAAACCATAGTTTCCATTTAAGAACATTTTATGTATAGGAACGCTAACAGGTTATGTCAGCTATTCATTCCAGCAAGTTATTTTCCACCTATGTTCTGCAGTCTTACCTTTCTTGTTTGTTTTGGTCTGCCCTTTTAAAATGTTATAATTTTAGCCTATTTTAAGTATCTACTTTCCCTGAGAAATTTTGATTCAGGAAGTCCCATGTTGCAAACTGGGAGTCTTTTTAAGCCATTATTATCTACTACCAGGTAAATTTTAAAATTAGATAAGTTTGGGAAACACTACACTAATCAGGAGAGATGGGAAGCAAAGTGCTGTCAACTATGCTTTTATTTCTAAACTCTAAAACAAAAAACAAAAAAAATCAACAGAGAGTTTTATTAGCTTCATCACAAGATTCAAAATACAAGGTGGGGGCAAAAATAGATTTATAGTTGTATGTAAAATAATACAATAACTAATCAACATTAATACAAAAATAAACTGTTTCTCATATTCACAACTGTAAACCTACTTTTGCCCCACCCTGTATTTTAACAAGGACATTTATAAGGACACACATCCAGAAAAAGTTCTCACCTTTAATAAATAAAGATGACACTTTTTTCTTAATCTCTTTATATAACAAAATGACCTTTTAGGCAACTTATCTACAAGGTAAAATAGAATAAGACATTTTCTAATTGTTATCAGAGACAGAAATAAAAGGGGAAATACATATATAATAAATACATTAACAACTTTTTTCCACAGGCCTTATATATCAAATGAGGCATATTTTCTTTTTGTTTTGTTTCCAGGACTGTGTCCAAGTATAGCTTTAATTTAAATCTGTGATAAGATATTTCACATTAAATGGCGTGAGTCCAAGCTGCAATTTCCAAGCAAGTGGTGGTTTAGTCCAAAAGCTTGCAAAGAAATGGTAGCTTATTCTATACAAAAAGTGTAGCATTTTACATAACCCTCTTCATGACTAAGAATTAACTTCAAAAGAGTATAACAATTGACAAAAGCTTAAAAGTAAAGTAGGTTCTAAATAAGAACGCACTGAAAAAATACTCTTCCACTGTATTTATTCCCTTGTAGTTCCTATTTTAAAAGGTAAAAATGAGGTCATCAGTCCTAGCAGTTCCGTGGCTTATTTTCATCATTAGACCATTGTCACACTGAGCAGGGGTGATCCTTATCAGTTTCTTTGGTTTCAAAGCTAGGCATCACAGAAAAGGGGCCAAAAATATTTTATTCAACATGCAGGATGCACGTAAGTGGAATGTCCATACAGCCTTAACCCACTGTTCTTTTGAAGTGAAAGGTCATTCACAGAATGGGCAAACGTCAGGTTATTAAACTTTAAAACTAACTTTAAAATTAGCTTTAAAGCTAGAAATTTCTAAAATATACACCTTGATTGTTTATGTATATTTCTCATGGATGTATTAAATGATCTAGGGACTTGCGTGCTCTTTGTGTCTAGCAGTACATGATTCATCCAAACCCAGGTTAAATATTTCTCCCACCGCCTACTCTGGCCACACCATCTATGCACATCTCACAAAACCTCCTTTGAAAATGCAGAGAATTAGAAGCAAGGAGGTAAAAACTTTTATAAATATAGTCCCATCGTGTTTATTATACATCTAGTAGGTCAGCAGCGGCAGCCAGGATCTATGGACACAGAAGCATCTCTCAAAGCAAAACCAGGGGCGCTTGACAGCTACGCCAATCTACCTGTTGAACCGTGGGTCACTGCTCTCAATAATTGTCAAATCAGCTTCTACTTGGAAATGCTAACGATCAAAAAAATGTTTTAAGTTATTTGTTAATCTTTCTTCCCACTCTACTTTTCCTTCGGGTGGTTGCCGCAGAGCCCAGGAAGCCGCGGGACCCGCGAGTCCGCCGCGCGGCTGGTTGCAGCAGCGGTGCGGGGTGGGCCGCCGGGGCGGCAGCACCGAGGTCACCGCAGGCCGGGCGCAGCCGCCAGGAGCCCTCCAGGCCCAGATTTACTCACCTGCTGTCTCGGGGGGCGATCGGCAGGGTGCTGTTCCTCCGGACCAAGGGACTGATCCTGGGGAGGGACCGCAGGGTGGTGGCGCCGGGGCGAGGGGAAGTAAGGAGGAAACCGTATCACCTACGCTGGGGATGCGGAGCACAGAAGGAGGCTGCAGCCTTTCCCTCCAGAAACGGAAGAGGCGGGGGAGGAGGAGAAGGAAAACGCCGAGAAAGAGGAGGTGGCGGGGCAAGGGAGGCTAGCCCAGGGGCGCCAGGCGTCTGGCCGCAGGCGAGGGGCGGGGAGCGCGGCCGAGGTCATCGGAGGGGAAGGCTAAGCGGGCGGCGCTGCCTCGCTCAGCCCAGGCTAGCCGACCTCTGCATCCGCCAGGCCGCCTCCCCCACCCTTCCCCCGGGACCGGCGTGGAACCGCATGGTGACGCCTCGAGGCTCCCGGGGTGGGCGAGGGCATCCCACGCCCGCATCGGCGGCGGGAGCCAGGCTTCTGCAACGTCACAAGTGCGATGATTCAGAAGGGAGGGCCATGGGGGGAAAGGGCTCCAGAGTCACCTAATCCACTGTTTTCGTCCTTGTAGCTGCCCCCAAGTTTACTTTTAAAATCCTCATCCATTCTTCTTTACTCTTTTGGGGGATTTTGGGTTTGATAGAGGGTTGGCAGCTCTGAAGATGGACTTCCTGCTCGTGGCAGTCGGTCCCATTGTTCTAATAGAAATGTCAAGGGTGCTGGTGGTTCTTCAAACCGTAGCAGTGTCTCCTGGGGGCCCGCCTTATAAGGTGTGGGCCTAGTGCCATCTTGACAGTAAGCAGGGCATGGGTAGGAACTCCCCTCTCTTGAACCCTTTAAACTGTGGTACTCAGTATACCTTAAAGATGATTTTAAATGGTGGATGAGGCTAAGAATGTGTGATGAAGGAGTGGGAGGAGCAGTAGAAATTTTAAAAAGGCAACAAAGAAATTGAGTACAAGGGGCCTGGCAGCCTGCTGGGGCAGGTTGAATGTTGCCTATGAGTGTGTGGGATCTTGTAAAGCAGTGCTTCCTGCACCCTTCTCGGCACACCCAGGAAATGGTAATGCCTGCAAGGCCCAAACCAGGGTAAACAGAAGAGGCTGCTCATGCAGGAGTGGCAGGGCCCTTCCACCTGGAGGGCTGAGGAGACCAATATTTACAGGTCTGTAACTCATTCCATGGCACGAAATTGGAAAGCTTTGTTCTGAAGTTCTAGCTGGCAGATTTTCTTACCTACACTTTCCCAAACCACCTAAGACTGCCTCCTGAGATGTCAACACTTGAGCCTCAGACAGTGAGGAACCACCAAGACAGAAGCCTGGAGCAATACACTACAGGAAATGGTGCTTAAAACTTTACACCTCCCAGCCCTGGCCGGTTTGGCTCAGCGGTTAGAGCGTTGACCTGCGGTCCAGAGAGTCCCGAGTTCAGCCCTCACTAAGGGCACATACCTTGGTTGCAGTTTGTCCCCAGCCAGGGTTGGTCTTGTGGGTGGCTGCCACTCCCCTTTCACGTCAATGTTTCTCTCTCTCTCTCTCTCTCTCTCTCTCTCTATCTTCTTCCCTCCCTCCCTCCCTCCCATGAACAAAAAATGGAAAAATGTCCTCAAGTGAGGATAAAAAAAAAACTTTACACCTCCCAAACCGGTTGTTTCTGTGGTCTTTAACTTAGGACAACTCCCACTCTTCTACCCCCCCCCCCCCCATCTCATTCCTCAACTTTCATCACTAGCAAGTCAGAAGATTCTATCTTCTCTTTCAAATTTATCTTTTAGGTCCATCCCCACTGTTATTGTTTATTAAATTAGTCTCATAATCGTATCTATGATGACAAAATTAAAATAGCTTGATAGTTTAAAAAGAAATAGTTTAAACATGATATTTAGAAGTAAAAAGGCAAATACCAGAATAGTTAGAAGGTGAAAGAATTTGCCTTTAGAGAGCAGGAACTTGGGGAGGGGAGGGTGGAGCAGGAGACTGCTGTTTTTGTGACCAGCAATATATGATGAACATTCTGAATCTAGTCCATTGTCCACTTTGCTCCCACAGAGACCATCCTACATCGCACATTTGAATGGATTCCTTGCTTAAAAGCCTTCATTGGTTCTCAAGCACTGGTAATATCAAGCTCCTAACCTTGGCCTTCAAGGCCCATCTCCCCCTTCTATCTGGCAACCTTACCCCTTATATTTGACACCCCATTTTACTACACCACATCTAGTTCCCTAAATGCATAAACTTGTTTCATACCTTTGTACCTTTATACGTGTTATTTCTTTTGCCTGGAGTATTCCCCACTGCTATAATAATAGCTAATGGTACTGTGCTAAGTACTTTCTGTGCTTTATAGCTGTTCCTTCTTCCATCAACCCTATGGTAGGTATTATTATTATCTTCATCTAATAAAGGATAAAACTGTCACTTAGGTTAAGTAATTTACTCAAATATGTAATATGTAGTGAAGTCAAATTTAAGCCCAGCAATATGACTCCAGGACTCACATTGTATCACCTATTCTTACTTTAAAAATCTTTCTCAGACAATAAATGTGAGCAGGATTAAAAGATTTAAATGTTTTAAAGACTCAAAAGTGCAATGAGAAAATATAAGTGAAATAAGCATGAAATAAAGGGTAAAATTAAAAAAGAAAAATGGCAGACATGACTAGAATTTTTAATTTCTTTCATCAAAAAGACCCATTAAATAAAACTATAAGTTATCAAAAATTTTGCAAATATAAGAGTGAAATTCTTATTTAATAAAGAGGTCTTACAAAGAAATATAAATACATATCCTTTTTTAAAAGATGGGCAAAAGTGTAAATTAGTTAAAAATAGCGAAACATATTTTTAAGGAAAGTGAAAACTTAAAACAATAATGTACCATCAACTTGACTGAGAACAAAAGAAGACTCAGCTAACTAACTGTGGGCCAGTGACCCTTGAGGCAGGATACATGGCAAGTGACCAAGCTAGTACAGAGAAGGACATAAATTGCTTCAATGTTTCTGGAGGGAAATTTGGCAGGATGCAGTAAAAGCCTCAAAAAATGTTCACACCCTTTGACTCAAAAATAGCATTTCTTGGAATTCATAATACAGGGATTGACAAATGTTTTCTATAAAAGCCCAGATAGTAAATGCTTTAGGCTTTGCAGGCCACATATGTCTCTGTTGCTTTTCTTCTTTGTTTGTGTCCTTTAAAAAAAAATTGTTAAAAAATGTGAAACCTATATTAGTTTGAGGGCTGTAGAAAAACAGGCGGTGGTCTGAAAATGGTCTGAGGGCGGTACTGTGGGCAAAGAGTAGATAGATTATAAGAAAGCTCATCACACAGTGCATTTAGTAATTACCAAAAGAGAGAGCAAGCTAAGTGTCTGAGAATACAAATTAGTTACCAGAGAGAGAAAAAAAGTTTTTTAAAGGTTTTTAATGTTTTAAAAAGTTACAGATGATGTTTATTTCATGAGAAAGTATTTATGATTTGAGTGGAAAAACATAGTTTACAAAGGAATGTCTGTGTTATCATCCCAAATACAACATAATCATATTTATATATATACATAGAATAAGATCTAAAAGATATAAACACATTAAGATGTTGATAGTGGTCTTGGGATGGGGGTGAGATTGTAGAGATATATATATATATATTTATTGTGTGTGTGTTCCTAGACTTAATATGTATTGTTTTTGTATTAAGCAAAAATACAAGAAACTTTGCTTGGGCAACCACAAAGCACCTTAGTTTTCAAGATGAGAAATCTTTCCTGAATCTACTCCCCGGCGATGGAGTTGGTCACTCTCTCTTCTGCACTCCCTAAGCACATAATGGTCTTTTGAGTACCATTATTTACTTAATTGGGGAATGATTAATACCATCATTTAGTTAAGCATTCCTCAATTATTGGGCATCTGGGTTCCCGATATACCACTATTATAAACATCCTGGTTATTTTCAACTTGCTCTTTGCCAGAACCATTTTTCATACTTCTCTGCTAGACAGTACCTCAGAAGGCAGAACTTCCTAAATTATTTTCTCTGCACTCTCTTGCCAGCTGGCTTTCAGGTAGGACTTGCAATGGGTAATACCAACAATAGGTTGGAGGGTGGAGAAGGAGAAAGGTTGGGGTATTTCTTCTCACCTTTTCTCCTGCTTTTGTCCTCTAAGGCACAAGGCAGTATCCCCCTTCACTGCTCTGCTAATTTGACTTTCTCACCCTATCCCTTTCTCTTTTTTTTAAATCCTCACCTGAGAACATTTTTTGCATTTATTTTCAGATAGAGCGGGAGGGAGAGAGAGAAACATCAACATGAGAGAGACACATAGACTGGCTGCCACTCACATGACCCCAACTGGGGCTGGGAACAAACCGCAACCGAGGTGTGCCCTTAGCAGGCATCGAACCTGGGACTCTCCGGTCCAGGGGCCATGCTCCAACTGCTGAACCAAACTGGCCAGGGCAAAAAAATTTTTTTTAAATCCTCACCCGAGAACATTTTTGCATTTATCTTCAGATAGAGCGGGAGGGAGAGAGAGAAACATCGACATAAGAGAGACATATCGACTGGCTGCCACCCACGTGACCCCAACTGGGGCTGGGGACAAACTGCAATCAAGGTACGTGCCCTTAGGGGGAATCGACCCCGAACCCAGGTCTCTCTGGACCATGGGCCGACGCTCTAACACAGTGCTGAGCCAAACCCGCCAGGGCTTCACCCTATCTCTTAAGCCATAGTGGTGGTAATTGCTTCCTACTGTTGTAAGAGCCTAAATACCTCCATGTCTCTTGTCATCTCCATGTAGTGTTGTTTCCCTTCACCCAACCCAAACCCAAAATCTAAATGAAACTTCTGTAAATAGTCCCTTCAATAAAATCTCTTCTGTTGAAACATCTGAGTGGACATCGGTTCCTGTTAGGAAAGATTGATAGATTAAAGAGCACTAGTGAACACAAATCTTTCATTTATTATGCAACAAGCCCTGGATATTCTCAGACTTTACATCTGAGGTTTTGATGATTTGCAAGGTAATTATAGAATGATTTATAAGTTTCCTGAAGCAGGAATTTGAATTACTGTGAGACCAGTGTTTGGGAATGTAACAAGATTGTTCTTCACTTCTCCAGTAGTTTTTGAGAAGTAATATTCCATTGCATTTTATTGAAGAAATCATATGCTACAGGACAGTGGTGTTCAAATTTTGATGTTTTTACAGAATCTTTAAGAAAATATTCTTATACTGAGCCTACCATATGAATGAGATAAAAGTCACATGCAGATCCCAGGGCACCTTGGAACACAATTTGAAAACACAACTTTGGAGAATCCAAGAGTCT